TTTATTTTGCCTTTTTCAGCCTATTTCTTTATTTTATTTTGCCTTTTTTATAGGTTTTTAGGTCCTAAAAATCCGTTCCCTGGTGATTATGTATGAAGCATTAGGTTCCATAGACAAAAATTACAGCTTCCTTTTATTTTTAAATATTTTTCAAGAGATTAATGAAATGTAGTCAATTTGCAAGAGGTTGCTACTGAAATAGGGATAATTAAGCGATTTTGGAATTTTTTGACGTTTTGGTCTTTTACATGGAATTACCTTAAATCATCCGCCGGATTTTGGTAGAATTAATTACGGCAAAGTTCAAAAGGTCAGCAGTCGTACTAAATCATTTGATAAGTGTGAACGTGACGTTTAGTAGAGGCAGAATTTTTATTTTTTTTTTTTTTCAAGCGAACTGGGCTAAGAAGATATTTTTAGTGTTTTTACTTAACAATTTCGTATCGTATCGGTCTTTTGCTTGTCAACATTGCCAAATGTAATCAGCGCAGATTCATGCTAGTTTATTTATGAGCTCTGTTAACCTTTAGTTCGTTTATTGTAAGCATACGCGCCTTTTGTTTAAAATACCTTTTAGTTTTGTTTGTTTACATATTCTCACTTTTAACAATATTAAGCATAGCGTATTGCTTTGTTTACATAGCAAGAACATGCATAGGGGAACTCAGTTATGTAGTTAAAAGTGCGTATGTTTACAGCAGAAAATAATTTTGTGGCATTAGCATTAAGTTTCACACCTCATTTAGATGCGGGAGCGGTCTTGTTTTGCAGAGTTCAGTTGAAATAAAAACGTGCGTATTTAACTTTTATATTTAATATGAAATGTGTTTTTGTTCAAATATAAGTGATTATCTATGAAGTAGGGATGTCGGAAAAACATCGATGCATCGAAAATATCGACGTTTTGCTTCGATGCATCGAAATTTTTTTTATAAATAGTCGATATATCGTTGCATCGATGTTTTTTTAAAACTGACATCTCTAGTAAAATGAACCGTCGTTCCAGATTTTCAATTGTACAAAAAATAACGGTGACTTTGACCAAAAAATTTAAATATCTCCAAAAAGTTCCTTTAGAAATATAATTAGCTCAGTTGCAGTAATTTATTTCAAATTTTCTGCAATTTTGCTAATAACATATTTTGTTGTGAAATATTATCTGCAAAACCATCTGAAAACCAGCAAATCAATGCATCGAAAAATATCTGATGTAATTTCGATGCATCGAATCAAAGAAAAACATCGATGCATTTTTGCCACTGGCATCCTCCTTATGAAGAGTTTTTAGTTTTGCTAGATACATACATATTTTCTTAATCTGCGTTATCCTTAGTTTCGCCCGTAAAAAATTTACCCGAAAATTAAATATGTACATGGAAACCAAAAGTGGGGGAGATTACGATAACCGGGGCGACAAATTTTGGCTGTTCTATTGGAAAGCTGGGCTCTTCCGCTTTTTAAATATACCCACTTTCAGGTTCTGCGGTTCTAGTTTTAAAGATATTTAGTGTTGAAATTTTTTTAAATTTTTTTTTAATGTTAATATCTTATGAACTACACATAACCGATTAAAGAAAGTAATGTGTCAAAATAAAGATAATTAATTTATCTTTCAGCTCTTTTACCTAATTTATATTATCTTCCGTACTTTAAAGCCCAAGATATTAAAAAAACAAAAAATATTTCCTAATTTTTTCATAAAATCACTTTTTTTGAAAAGATTACGTGATTAATGCTTAAGAAGTGTACATTGCTTACTTAGAAAGTACAAGTTATTACCTTTAATTTGAAATAAACATTTTATTATGATAAAAAATTTAAATGCATTTACAAGCAAGCAACAGCCTTATACCTATTGCAGTTCATTCAAATAAGGTCCCCCCCCCCTATCCGGAAACATAGGAAGGAGAACTCCGCGTATTAAGGATTATAATTCCTAAGCGCAGCCGAAGGCCGCCTACGCAGAAAGATCTGACCCCTTCTCCGGAAACACAGAAAGGAGAACTCTGCGTACTAAGGGTTATAATTCCTAAGGGCGGCCAAAGGCCGCCTACGTGGAAAGAAGTTCCGTCCCTCTTATCCGGCAAGACGGAAAGTAGAATTCTGCGTAGTAAGGGTTATGATTCCTAAGTGCGGCCGGAGGCCGCCTGCGCAGAGCGAATTACTGTGGGTAGCGTAGCGGTGTTGATCGGACCAGGTTTTTTTTAAACACTGTATTGCACGGACTGAAAACATGATGTTGTATACCAAATTAAAGCTTGTTTTATATACTATTGAATTATAAAATTTTTATATATATTTAATAAGGCAGTTTTTTTTTAAATCATGCCTTGCAAAAAATTTTCAAGATGTATATGTTACCGGCCAAACCTGGATCGGTTTTTCTAATACCTTATTCGACATTTTCTGTTTTTATTTGGCGCTATAACCGTTTGTCGTTTCATCCCGAGTGCACTTCGTCTTTCGATTTCGCTTGTCAAGCGCAATCTTGCATTTTTATCTATGTCCATGTTATTAAAAAGGTGATACAGGTCGTTCTTGTTGTCTTTTAACTGTCATTAGGTCATGCATACTGACAGTTAAAACAGATAGTAACACGAATACATAATAAGCGGAAGGAAACACGAACTATTCAGAACGAAAAATGACACTGAAGATGGCACAACGCCGAAACCGGTTTGTCTCCAAACCAAATTTGACAAGGGATGACGGAAAATCGTTCCGCAATACATCATACTCTACCCTATCGGAAACACAAACAACCAAAAAGAAGTCGTTCTTGTTATTGTCCTCATTCCATCTTCTTTGCTACCCGTCGGCCACGCGTACAGCGCCGTAGATCATGCGAGGAATACTTCACTAAATGAAAGGATAGCATTAAGTATCACCTTTGTTCGACGTCGTCACGTGTCTGCGCCATATAAAAGATCGGGCAAAACGAGCGTCTTGTAGAGCGTGATTTTTGTTCGTCGAGAGAGTGTTATGCAGATACTGAAAGCTTTAGATTTTATTTCAAGTCCGTAATTTGTTCTTGGTATTAATGATCGCGATTCAAACGGTGTTGTTAATTAAGAATTTTATCAACCTTATATATGTGTGCGATATGTATATTGCATATTTTCCAATTCGTTAAGTCTCTTGTTGGCGGACTTGTTTGTTGTGCTTTTTTGTGGTTTTTTGTGTTTTTTTTTTTGTAAATACAGACAGCTCTTTGTTTTTCGTCAACGCAAACGTTCTAGCTGATGGCACGCTGATCGTTGGAATTCAGTAGCTGATGACTAATTCCTTATAACCCCGCGCTATGTCTAACAGTGCAGTCGCTGTGGTTATTTTGCACTCATTCAACTCCGCCATACAATGACACAAAATAAAAGCATATGCTGGTAAAAAGTATGCAAGGTGTTGGAGCTGAAGTGCACAATTTGCAGTATTTAAACACCGCCGCCTGTACAAATGGTTTGTCGTTGGCATGAGTTCAATTGACTTTTGTTGCCTTGTTGCGCTGAGTTCATCAAAAGGATTGGAAGTGAAACGTTTCGGAGAGTTGCCGGCTTTGTGCTGAACCGAGCGCTTGTTGGGATGCAGATTTTTATCAACATTTACTTGACATAGGTATTTACAGTGTTGGACACATAATTAGGGAATTTACTCTTCTTTATAAGTAGTGATCATTTTTTTATTCTTTATTTTTTTACAAAAAAAAAACATGCAACTAAATGTTCCAAACCTGGAGTTTGTGTTGATTTTTGACTAAAGGTTTGCTAACGGTGCTACGTACATACTTTCTTCCATGCAATT